ATAAGGAAGCCTGCTAGTTCCTTTAACAAAACCTAGTCCAGGTCCTTCAAGATGGATAATATGGACAGATTTTTTTTTTTTCCAAAACAAAGTCTTGCTTTGTTGCCCAGGATGTAGGGTAGTGGCCCCATCTTGCTTTACTGCAGCCGCCACCTCCCAGGTTCAAGCTATTATCATGCCTCAGCCTCTCAATTACAGGTGTGCACCACCACACCTGGCTAATTTTGTATTTTCAGTAGAGACCTGGTTTCACCATGTTGGCCAGGCTGGTCTCAAACTCCTGACCTCAAGTGATCTGCCTGCCTCAGCCTCCCCCCAAAGAATTGCTGGGATTACAGGTGTGAGCCACCGCGCCCAGCCAATATGGAGAGATTCTTTATAGGGTGAGGGGCACCCTTCTCCTTTGGAGATGCCAAAGCTGGCCCTTAGGGGGCGCTGGGTCTCCTGATTGTGGTGGCCAAGGAAGAGTGCAGTCACTCCCCAGGACACCTCCATATTCACCTTTCATTGAGAATATTCAGGAAACAGATTTTGTTTATCCAAGAGTCCCAGAGTTGATCCTATTCTAAGTTCTGAAGGTGATTTCCTTTGCCTGTCATCACAAGGGAATAATCTATAAGACTTACCAAACGTGGTAAGAGGCAAGTAAAGAGAGGTTCGACTGAAAGAATGAAGGGAGGCAGTAAATGCAAATCTTTTCTGAGCAGTGTGAGGGAAAGAGAGCAGCTAAGGTCCAAGATGCTAACCCTCAACTGTCACTTTCTCTTTTTTTTTTGAGACGAAGTCTCGCTCTGTTGCCAGGTGTGGAGTGCAGTGGCGTGATCTCGGCTCACTGCAACCTCTGCTTCCTAGGTTCCAGTGATTCTCCTGCCTCAGCCTCCCGAGTAGCTGGGACTACAGGTGCACGCCACCACGCCTGGCTAATTTTTGTAGTTTTAGTAGAGACGGCATTTTGCCATGTTGGCCAGGATGGTCCCAATCTCTTGACCTCGTGATCCGCCTGCCTCAGCCTCCCAAAGTGCTGGGATTACAGGCATGATCCATGGCACCCGGCCCCTCAGCTGTCACTTTCATGCAGCCCCTTCTACTTGTCCTCCAAGGCTCCTTCCCATCTTTGCCACAATAGAGAGCAGCATGTACGAAGGGCACCTCTGACAAATCTTCCACCTCCAGTCAATGTGCAGAATGAATGGACCAAGAGAAACAGCTGTAGTGCTCCCTCAGGCCACACTGGACATGACTTTTGTTCCTTTTCCCCTACGAAGGAGGAAAAAAACAAAAAACAAAAATACAAACAAAAATTTTTTAAAAATTATTTTTGTAAAGACAGGTACTCCCTATGCTTCTGGGCTGGTCTCAAACTCCTGGACTCAAGCAATCCTTCCTCCTTGACCTTCTGAAGTGCTGGGATTACAGGCATGAGCCACTGTACCCAGCCCCCAAATTCTATTCTTGATTCACTTCTGGTTTGCAACCATATGTATTTGCACTTCTTGTTACTTTATGTTCTTAGACTGTTTTGTGTGTCCACTACTGTGTATAGGTTATAAACATTGAGGACACAGTTTTTATTTATTTATTTAGAAACAGTCTCACTCTGTCACCAAGGCTGGAATGCAGTGGTGGCTAACTGCTACCTCCCCATTCCAGGTTCAAGCAATCCTCCACCTTAGCATCCTGAGTAGCTAGGACTCCAGCCACGTGCCACTATGCCTTGCTAATTTTTTTATTTTTAGTAGAGGTGGGGTTTCACCATCCTGGCCAGGCTGGTCTCGAAATCCTGACCTCAAGTGATCCAACTGCCTTGGCCTCCCAAAGTGCTGGGATTACAGGGGTGAGTCACTGCACCTCATCAAGGTCCATTTTTTTTTTTTTTGAGACAGAGTCTCACTCTGTCACCCAGGCTGGAGTGCAGTGGTGTGATCTCAGCTCACCTCAACCTCTGCCTCCTGGGTTCAAGTGATACTTGTGCCTCAGCCTCCCGAGTAGCTGGGATTACAGGCATGCACCACCACACCTGGCTGATTTTTGTATTTTTAGTAGAGATAGGGTTTCGCCATGTTGGCCAGGCTGGTTTCGAACTCCTGACCTCAAGTGATCCATCAGTCTCGGCCTCCCAAGATGCTGGGATTATAGGCTTGAGCCACTGCGCCTGGTGTCAAGGTCCATTTTAAAAGTTTTTATCCTTACTATTTCAAATACTAAAACTTTAGTATGATTCAAGATGATTAGTATACCAAAACTAATTGACTGAAGAAATGCTAAATACTATAAGTATCAGGAAGAACTATTTTGAGATTTTTGAAGTTCATTTCCAGCTGCTACTTACAAAGAGGAAACTTTTATACACCAGAGAAATACCACTATTTTTATACACCAGAGAAATACCACTATGTGGTATCTGACAGTTCCCACCTTAACCAAGCAATGAAACTGAGCATAATTAAATGACAAATTCTGACCTGATGTCTCCAGCGTAATGTAATGTGAAGTATGTAATGTCATTTATTAAGTATTCTTTGCAAAATTGTTTCACCCAAATCTAATCAAGTCTGTAGACCTACTTCCAGTTTTGAGGAAATATAGGCTTACAGTCCTGTCCAATAGAACTTTCTGCAATGATGTAAATATTCTATATCTGCACTAATACAGTAACCACCAGTCTACTGAAAAATTCAATTTTGTTTTTTGAAAAACAGGGTCTCACTTTGTCACCCAGGTTGCAGTGCAGTGACATGTTGGACAAAATCTTTTTTTTTTTTTTTTTTTTCTTTTTGAGATGGAGTCTTGCTCTGTCACCCAGGCTGGAGTGCAGTGGCGCAATCCTGGCTCACTGCAACCTCTACCTCCTGGGTTCAAGTAATTCTCCTGCCTCAGCCTCCCTAGTAGTTGGGATTATAGGTATGCACCACCACGCCTGGCTAATTTTTGTATTTTTAGTAGAGATGGGGTTTCACCATGTTGGCCAGGCTGGTCTCGAACTCCTGACTTCAGATGATACACCCACCTCCACCTCTCAAAGTTCTGGGATTACAGGTGAGCCACCACACCCAGCCTGGACAAAATCTTTAGCTCCTCCATCCTGACAGAGGGAAGAAAGAAATGTCAAGTGGAAGATCTCTGATAGGAGCAAGGTTAGGATTGGGCACAGTGCCTGCCGACGGTCAAGGTGTGGGTTAAACACTGATAGGATAAACAAGGTCACTCTGAATCTCTGAGCAATTGATCTCTACAAAAAATACAAAAATTGGCCAGGCGCAGTGGCTCACACCTGTAATCCCAGGACTTTGGGAGGCTGAGGCGGGTGGATTGCCTAAAGTCAGGAGTTCAAGACCAGCCTGTCCAACATGGTGAAACCCCGTCTCTACTAAAAATACAAAAATTAGCCAGGTGTGGTGGCACATATCTGTAATCCCAGCTACTCGGGAGGCTGAGGCACGAGAATCACTTGAACCCAGGAGACAGAGGTTGCGGTAAGCCAAGATTGTGCCACTGCACTCCAGCCAGGGCGACAGAGTGAGACTATCTAAAAAATATATATATATACACACACACACACACACACACACAAATTAGCCGGGCATGGTGGCACATGCCTGTAGTCCCAGCTACTTACGGGGCTAAGGTAAAAGGATAATTTGAGCCTGGGAGGTTGAGACTACAGTGAACCATGTTTATGCCACTACACTCCAGCCTGGGCAACAAAGTGAGACCCTGTTTCAAAAAAAAAAAGAAAAAAAAAGTTGAGTCAAAGACATTAATTCTTCTTGTAAATAAATCCAGATCATCATTTGATATTAGCAGAAGAATACCCCAAGACAGCTTCCCTAGAAAGTGGTTTCAGAAACTGAGTAGGCTCTTCTAAATAAAGGTGGAGGCCTTCTGTTTCTATTCATAGTCCCCTGTTTTGACACCAGCCAGGACTCTGCCTTGTTCTAAGTTAAGTAGACTGTTGAACTTGGTTCCTCAGGGGAATCTCCTCCAAACCTCTGCTTTTAGAGGAAAATGTAGCCCTCAAACTACACCAAGGGAACCAGGAACACAAGTGGCTTGTGTCCTTTCCTATAACTGAGCTGGACACTGGCTGCTTTTTTTTTTTTTTTTTGAGACAGGGTCTCACTCTGCCACCCAGGCTGAGTGCAGTGATGCCATCATGGCTCAGTGCAGCCTTGACCTCCTGGGTTCAAGTGATCCTCCTACCTCAGCCTCCTGAGATATTGGCACTACAGGCACATACCATCACACTTGCTAATTAAAACAATTTTTTCAGCTGAGTGTGGTGGCTCATGCTTGTAATCCCAGTACTTCACAAGGCCGAGGTGGGTGGATCATTTGAGGTCAGGAGTTTGAGACCAACCTGACCAACATGGCAAAACCCTGTCTCTACTAAAAATACAAACATTAGCTGGCCATGGTGGTGCATGCCTGTAATCCCAGCTACTAGGGAGGCTGATGCACAAGAATTGCTTGAGCCTAGGAGGCGGAGGCTGCAGTGAGCTGAGATCACGCCACTGCACTCCAGCATGGTGACAGAGACTCTGTCTCAAAAAAAAAAAAAAAAAAAGTGTTTTTCATAGAGACAGGGGTCTTGCTATGTTGCCCAGGCTGGTCTCGAACAGCTGGGCTCAAGTGATCCTCTTGCCTTGGCCTCCCAAAGTGCTGGAATTACAGGTGTGAGTCACTGCTCCCAGGCTCAGCTGCTTTATTATAACTCCCACACTGATACCCATAGTTAGAAAATAGCTTCCTACCTGCCTGAGCATCTAGCACTCCTTTGGACATTATAGTTCTTCAAGAGCAAGCCCAAATTTAATCCACTGTACTCTCCCAAAATGAAGCCTCTAAGACTTGATGTAGGCAAGCTGGCACATCTACTTCTTACTCTTTGCATAAGCATCGTATATCTGTCTCTATTTGGATCCACTCAGTTCCCCCCTCCTTACCCACATAGCCTTCAATGTTCTCTTTCCATCTTTGCCCAAGGAAAATGACTAAAATCCTAAGATATAATATCATAACTTTATTCAGGAGATAATCAAATACAATACAGGGCTGACACTGACACACAGCTATGCATAAAAATTATATAAATCTGCTTGCTAGATTTTCCAGAAGAGGCCCAGTCATTATAAAAAATAAAGGGAAACCAGGAGGGTGCCTAAATGACTGCAGTGTTTCAAGTAAGCGTAAGCATTTCCACATTCCCTTGTAGTGAAGGCAGCCCCAGGTGAAGGTGGTCCTACTAGCAGGAAGATTAGGAGGCAGCAGCTGTGCAGAAGCCATGTTTCCTGGCCCTGCCAGAGCTCAACGATAGGCCTTGTTGAACTCCAGGAGAGCCCACCGCTTGTTCTCCGTTGCCTGCTTGAGTACGGTGTACTCTTTCACCAGCCTGTCAAACTCCTCCCCAAGGACCTCATAGGAGTTCAGGACCTGTCTTGACTTCTCCATGTCCTGCTCCTGTAGGTGAATGGCTCCCTCCAAACGGTCCCTAAGAGCCCGGGCAGAGAAGGTACAATATAAGGATGCTGCTCCTCAGAAAGTAGTAGACAAAAATGAAAACTTTTTCTCTTTTTCTTTTTTTGAGACAGAGTCTCGCTGTGTCACGGAGGCTGGAGTGCAATGGTATGATGTTGGCTCACTGCGGCCTCCGCCTCCTGAGTTCAAGCGATTCTGCTGCCTCAGCCTCCCGAGTAGCTGGAACCACAGGCACACACCACCATGCACAGCTAATTTTTGCATTTTTAAGTAGAGACAGGGTTTCACCATACTGGCCAGGCTGGTCTCAAACTCCTGACCTCAAGCAATCCGCCGACCTCAGCCTCCCAAAGTGCTGGGATTACAGGTGTGAGCCACTGTGCCCGGCCAAAAATGGCAACATCTTTAAATAAATGAGTTTAGGGAATGTGAGAACCACCTGTGAACAGCTGTACCAGACTCTTAGGAGTTCTCACCTAATCAGACGATGAACTTCCACTTTCTCAACAGTGTAAGTGTCGGACAAAATCTTTAGCTCCTCCATCCTGACAGAGGGAAGAAAGAAATGGCAAGTGGAAGGTCCCTGATAACAGCAGGGTTGGGAATGGACACAGTACCTGCTGATGGTCAAGGTGTGGGCTAAGCACTGATAGGATAAACAAGGTCACTCTAAATTCCCGAGCAATTGATCTCACAGTAAAGTGCCTATCTCAGAAGGCTGTAAAAGAAAAGTCTCAAGGATGTTGAAAGCTTTTGGGTAATCCAAAAGCTAATACTCCTATGTGACATTTACTGGATACCCACAAGGTGCTAGGATAAGGGAGAGGAAAGAGATTAGGGTGAGGGATAGAGGGCTGATATGTGAGACAGAATCCCTTAGATCCACAGGGGTCACAGCTCACCTCAGCTTAAGGATCATAGCACTGCATTTGACTTCCAGGTACTGGGCATTGATGCGGTCTAACTCGGATTGAGTCTTCAGCCGGTGTTCCTGAAGAAGCCTCTGCAGCAAAGTGAGGCAGCGGAGAAGCACCTGAGCCCCAGATGGAGGAAGAAGAGGGCATAAATAAAGATAGTAGAAAGGAGCATAGAACAGGAATCTTTGGCTTCCCCAAAAGTGCTCCTGGGGTCAGGATAAAGGAAAGGGGCTGTCCCATGCCCTGATAAACCTGGGAGTAAGTAGCACTCTTCTTCTCCAGCAGCAACATCTGCTCCTTCTGTTGGCTCTTGGCATCCTGGCACTGCTGCTGCTCACCCACCAGGACCTCTGCGAGTTTCCACACCTTTGCTGCCTTCACGGTTTCACTGTCAGCATCTGGGCAAAGCGGGCAGAGGACTGACAGGAAAACCCTAATCGCTACAACCCCTCTAAAGCAACTTTCCAGTGCCCCTATCTTATATCTAGCCCCACAAATCCTGCCTAATTACAGGTTTTCTTCTAATAATCTATTAAAAATGGCCCCATTCTGGGCTGGGCATGGTGGCTCATGCCTGCAATCCTAGTACTGCAATCCTAGCCAAGGCAGGAGGATTGCTTGAGCCCAAGAGTTCAAGACCAGTTTGGGCAACATAGTGAGACCCTGTCTCTACAAAAAAAATTCTAAAATATTAGTTAGGCATACTATGCGCCTGTAGTGCCAGCTACTTGGGAGGCTGAGGTGAGAGGATCACTTGAGTCCAGAAGGTCGAGGCTGCAGTGAGGTGTGATTGTGCCACTGCACTCCAGCCTGAGTGACAGAGTTTAAAAAAAAAGAGGAGGGGGGGGCGTCTGGTTCTCATAATTATTAAATAAATTATCTTCACTCTTACCTTTGATTCCAGATTTGGACCTTAATTCTTTTTTTTTTTTTTTTTTTTTGAGATGGAGTCTCGCACTGTCACCTTGGCTGGATGCAGTGGCACAATCTCAGCTCACTGCAACCTCCATCTCCCAGGTTCAAGCAATTCTCCTGCCTAAGCCTCCCAAGAAGCTGGGATTACACACGCCCGCCACCACACCCAGCTAATTTTTTGTATTTTTAGTAGAGACGGGGTTTCACTATGTTGGCCAGGTTGGTCTTGAATGCCTGACTTCATGATCCACCCGCCTCGGTCTCCCAAAGTGCTGGGATTACAGGCGTGAGCCACCGCACCAGGCCCGGACCTTAATTCTTAAGTCATAGAAATGGTTTAGGGAGGCCAAGTGTGGTGGCTCATGCCTGTAATCCCAGCACTTTGGGAGCCTGAGGCAGGCAGATCACCTGAGGTCAGGAGATTGAGACCATCCTGGCTAACATAGTGAAACCCCATCTCTACTAAAAATACAAAAAATTAGCCAGGCGTGATGGCAGGCACCTGTAATCCCAGCTACTCGGGAGGCTGAGGCAGGAGAATGGAGTGAACCTGGGAGGTGGAGCTTGCAGTGAGCTGAGACCACGCCACTGCACTCCAACCTGGGAGACAGAGCGAGACTCCATCTCAAAAAAAAAAAAAAAAAGATACACATTCAGGGTGGTCAGACTCAAATAAGAAAATCATTATACAGAAGCAAGTAAAAGCTAAAATATGAATACTACATCTAGAAACACATTATTATAAACAGCTTGACATAAATGGTATTATACCCTCCAAGTTTATACAGAGAGTATAAGGTGTTCTCTGAGTCTGAACTTTCCTCCCTAAACCATTCTGAACCTCCTGAGAGAACTCATCCTTCCCTGCAGCAGGAGGACACTCCCACTTGGTATCTTGCTGAATAAAAAGAGTCCTTACAAAAGTCCTTGTTTTGGCTGGGCGCAGTGGCTCCCACCTGTAATCCCAGCACTTTGGGAGGCCCAGGCAGGAGGATCACTTGAGGTCAGGAGTTCCAGACCAGCTAATCAACATGGAGAAACCCCATCTCTACAAAAATACAAAATTAGCTGAGCGGGATGGCACATGGCTGTAATCCCAGCTACTCGGGAGGCTGAGGCAGGAGAATCACTTGGACCTGGGAGGCAGAGGTTGCAGTGAACAGAAATGGCACCATTGCACTCTAGCCTGGGCAACAGGAGCGAAACTCCATCTCAAAAAAAAGTCCTTGTTTTTATTCCACCAGCAATGAAACAAACAAGCATCTATGATGGGTCTAAACCTCTGTCCCAAATCTAAAATCAAAATATATTATTCTCAAAAGAGCAGACCAGGAACCCTGAAGTCCAGCTGTGAGCAGAACAGAGAGCTAGCACTCACCTGAACTGGGATCATAGTAGCAGAGCAGAGTGAAACATTTCTTTCTGAGCTGCTCCTCTACTTCTTGCTGTAGCCGAGCCCTCATCCACACAAAATCCTGGTCATAGAAGTAAAAGCAGAAATGCAAATAGACTGTAAGAACTAGGATATCTCAGCAATGAATACATGATGATAACCTGAACAATAGCCAAAGAAAATGCATCAAGAGACATCAGAGAGACTCATTTTCACCTATCCATTAGCGAAGAATAAAATGACTGTTAAGACCCCATGTTGGTGAGCACATGGGGGATCCAGGAGTGCTGAAAATACCTTTCTGGATAGCAGTTTGGCATTAGGTACCAATATTGTATATGAGTATGCACTGACTTAGGAATCCCACTTTTAGCACCAACACTACAGAAATAATCATACAAAGGTAAAGACACATATGAACCAGCATGTTCATCTCCCTGTGGTTTCTAACAGCAAAAATGTGGAAACAACCTTAATATCCATCAATAAGGTTAAGCAAATTATTCTACATCCATACAGTAGAATCCTAGCAGAGATTTAAACTGATGACATAACACTAAGCACTATGTGCCTAGATACTTTGCTAAGAGTGCTATAGAAGGTATCATCTTACATACATTTATATATTGACTTGAAAAGAAATCCAAAATATATTACATGAAAATAGACTGTACTTTTCTTTTTTTGAGACAGGGTCTCACTCTGTCCAGGCTGCAGTACAGTGGCATGATCACAGCTCACTACTGCCTTGACCTCCCACCCTCAAGTCAACCTTCCTTCTCAGTCTCCCGAGTAGCTGGGACTACAGGTGTGCACCACCACACCTGGCTAACTTTTCTTTTCTTTTTTTTTTTGGTAGAAATGAGGTCTCACTATATTGCCCAGGCTGGTCTTGAACTCCTGGACTCAAGTGATCCTCCCACCTCAGCCTCCCAAAGTGCTAAGATTATAGGCGGAAGTCACTACACTCAGCCTTATACTCTCTGTATAAGCATGAAGGGTATAATACCATTTATGTCAAGCTATTTATAATAATATTGTGCTTCTAGATGCAGTATTTCAGCTTTTACTTGCTCCTGTGTAACATTTTTCTTATTTGAGTCTGACCACCCTGACTGTGTATCATTTTTACAAAAACATTAAAGCTTGACAAAAAACATTTTAAAGATATGGGAGAAATTAAACTATTTCATTTATTTGGTTCCAATATCTCCCCGCCAACCTCTGAGAGTGGCATGAGTTCCAGAAGGTCCGCTTTCTCCATCCCCAGCAGTGGAGGTATCTCCCTCTCCTGGCTAGGACCTAAGAGCCGCATCAGTTCAGTTACAAGTAGCCGCTGTTCAAGGGTCTCATGAAACTGACAGAGAGAATAAAAAACAGAAAGAGGTGACTATAAAACTTCTCCCACTCTACCTCTTCCATCCTCATGAACCAGTTTTTCACATATTTTCAAAGTCCTCAAATATGTCATCTTCCCTCAGATAACTCAGCTGCAAGTGACTTCTCCTGTCAATGTTTGTATTTCAAACTCTGATAACACATCCACTCCTTCCCATAACTACAGTACATTTCTCTTCTGACAACCCATTTCTCAAAGCTCCTACTTCCCCTGGATTACATCACAAGACAAAGCCACAGTTGGCCTGGTGGTTCCTGTACCTGGTTTCTTTCACCTCACTTTTTTTTTGAGACTGAGTCTTGCTCTGTCACCCAGGCTGGAATGCTGTGGCACGATCTCGGCTCACTGCAACCTCCGCCTCCCGGGTTCAAGCGATACTCCTGCCTCAGCCTCCCAAGTAGCTGGGACTACAGGCATGTGCCAGTGTGTCTGGTTAATTTTTGTATTTTTAGTAGAGATGGGGTTTTACCATGTTAACCAGGCTGGTCTCAAACTCCTGACCTCAAGTGATCAGCTTGCATCGGGCTCCCAAAGTGCTGGGATTACAGGTGTGAGCCATCACGCCCAGCCTTTGCCTCACCTTTTTGTCCTCAGAAGTTACATTTGTGTCTTGTATCTTCACATAGTAGTCCACAAGCAACTCTTGAATGACTCTATGTAAAATCTCAGACCTCAGCCATGTTGTCTTATGCAGTCGAACTTCCTTCCATGCCTAGAAATCCAAAAAATCTCAGGTAGGAACCTCTCTCTCTCTCAGGATTTTCCCTTCTTCTTATCTCTTCTTCCAAAGCCCTTACCTGAGCCTGCTCCTTTGCCAGGGTGAGGCTTAAGCCACTCTCATCCACATGCTGTGAGAGATTCAGGAGAAGCTTGCTGAAGTAAGGGTTCTGTAACAAGTCCTCTTTACTCAGGTTACAAGGAGGAAGTTGTTTGCTGCACACTTAACATCATGTCCCCACAGGTACAAAAAAACAAAAAAGGTACAGACTCTTACTTTACATAATTGAGCATAAGTTAATACTTCCAAAAAACCCCTAGGATTTTTATAGGAAAGATTGCTAAATCTAATGAGTTTTTTTTAAATCCACAAATAAACTAGGGGTGATATTCAAGGTAACAAGCATTTATATTATATATAAAGATATTAAGGGGGAATAAGTAATAAACTAAGATCTTAAGAAATGGAAATGCGGTTGGTACATATTAGACAAATAGAATAAAAATTAAGGGACCATTAGTAGGAATCACAATGCACAAAATGCCTCATTCATCTAAAATTAATAGAGTTCTTGAAGAAGGGGGGAAAAAACAACACGTGAAGTTCCAACTTTGGATGTGATGTGTAGTCGCATAAACAAGACTAACAGAATACACTTAGAGTAAATTAAACGTTCAACTAACCAAATTGTTCTTTCTTCTTGAGACAGGGTCTCACTCTGTCACCTAGGCTGGAGTGCAGTGGCACAATCACAGCTCACTGCAGCCTTAACCTCCCCGGATCAAGCAATCTTTCCACCTGAGTAGCTGACACTACAAGGCAAACCACCATGACTGGCTAATTTTTTTTTTTCTTTTTACAGACAGGGTCTCACTACATTGCCCAGGCTGGTGTCGAACTCTTGGGCTCAAGTGATCCTCCCACCTTGGCCTCTCAAAGTGCTGGGATTACAGGTGTGAGTCACCCCAGCTGGCCCAAATTCTTTTTTTTTTTTTCTTTTGAGATGGAGTGTTGCTCTTGTTGCCCAGGCTAGAGTGCAATGGCACAATCTTGGCTCACTGCAACCTCCACCTCCCGGGTTCAAACGATTCTCCTGCCTCAGCCTCCTGAGTAGATGGGATTATAGGCATGCGCCACCGCACCCAGCTAATTTTTGTTGTTGTTTTTTTTGAGATGGAGTCTCACTCTGTCGCCCAAGCTGAAGTGCAATGGCGCTATCTCAGCTCACTGCAAGCTCTGCCTCCCGGATTCACACCATTCTCCTGCCTCAGCCTCCCCAGTAGCTGGGACTACAGGCACCCGCCACCATGCCCGGCTATTTTTTTTTCTTTGTATTTTTAGTAGAGGCGGGGTTTCACTGTGTTAGCCAAGATGGTCTTGATCTCCTGACCTCGTGATCCGCCCGCCTCGGCCTCCCAAAGTGCTGGGATTACAGGCCTGAGCCACCGCGCCTGGCCTCTAATTTTTGTATTTTTAGTAGAGATGGGATTTCTCCATGTTGGTCAGGCTGGTCTCAAACTCCCAACCTCAGGTGATCCACCCGCCTTGGCTTCCCAAAGTGCTGGGATTACAGGCATGAGGCACCGCACCCAGCCAGCTGGCCCAAATTCTTATAATTGTCAGTAGAGTTAAGTAACCCATGTAGATACAAAACAGCATAGGCATGAGAAAAAAGTGTAAGAAATTGAGATCCTCTGGTTATTCCATATGCTCAAGGAGCTTTCTTTCCATTTCTTTTTCCATATCCTCTCTGTTGGGGTCTTTTACCTCTACTTACCAAAACACCCAAATTTTCATTCTTTGGAACATCATATCCAACGTCTTCTTGGGAAATAAGAAATCTCTCTTTTTCCCTAAGGTACTGAAGCATCCACTATGGAAATAGTCAAGATATAGAAAATGCAAGTTCTTGAAGGATTCAAGATATATAAAGGATCTGAGATATGGAAACAACTCAAGATATAGAAGGATCTGAAATTTTGGAGACTAAGATATGAGAATATTTAAGACACAGGTAGGAAGGACGCCTTCAAGGAATTTGCTGGCTACCCTTATTTTTATAATATGCTTGCTAACATCAGCATGGGAGCATCTTGAGTTTTTAGTCTACTACACAAGCAGATATTGAACCAACATTAACAGGAATTAGTATAGTATGTTTTCCAGTAAGAGAGTGTTCAAGGATCTCCATGTATTCCAGTTTCCTCAGAAACATAGGCTTCTGTAAGGAAAACCATACTGGGGAAACTTAGAAATCCTTTTTTTTTAAACTTAGAACTTTTTTTTTTTTTTTTTTTTTTTTTGAGACGGAGTCTTGCTCTGTTGCCCAGGCTGGAGTGCAGTGGCGTGATCTCAGCTCACTGCAAGCTCCACCTCCCGGGTTCACGCCATTCTCCTGCCTCAGCCTCCCGAGTAGCTGGGACTACGGGTGCCCGCCACCTTGCCCGGCTAGTTTTTTGTATTTTTAGTAGAAACGGGGTTTCACTGTGTTAGCCAGGATGGTCTCGATCTCCTGACCTCATGATCTGCCCACCTTGGCCTCCCAAAGTGCTGGGATTACAGGTGTGAGCCAATAAATCCTTTTTACTAGAAAACACAAGAATCTGGATAAGACCTCTCTGGATAAATCATCAAACCTTTTGCAAATGGCTACTCTTACCTTGTTGAAGTATTTCCATCCCTTCTCCAGGTGAGCAGAAATCCCTGGATGCCATTTGATTTTCTTGGGATTCTAATCTGTGGAACCAAGTGAAAGAAAATAAAAAGATGAATAAACAGCTGGCTACATCTTAGGTTCAAATTTCTGTTGTCTACAAGCTGGAAAGGAACCTCAAGGATGACTTTTATAGAGGGCCTGTATCACACACCCTGGGTCCCAAGCTCTTACACAAGTTTTATGGACAAACAAATTTGCAAGTGCCAAAACATGTCACATTCTAATCACACACGTGTTTCCACTTGCTCCAAGCTGTCCAAAAGGAGCCTCCTATGGCCGGGCGCGGTGGCTCAAGCCTGTAATCCCAGCACTTTGAGAGGCTGAGGCGGGTGGATCACGACGTCAGGAGATCGAAACCATCCTGGCTAACATGGTGAAACCCCGTCTCTACTAAAAATACAAAAAACTAGCCGGGCGAGGTGGCGGGCGCCTGTAGTCCCAGCTACTCGGAGGCTGAGGCAGGAGAATGGCGTAAACCCGGGAGGCGGAGCTTGCAGTGAGCTGAGATCCGGCCACTGCACTCCAGCCTGGGCGACACAGCGAGACTCCTAAAAAGAGAGCTTTCCAATTCACTGAGTCTAAACAAGAGGATTCTCCACCACCACCACCGTTATGTCAAAGTTAAAACTGAGCCACAGCTTCCCAGTTATGAGTGAACTGAGGGAAAAGGGAAAAAAATCAAAGTCTACTTTTTCCCCCCAAATAACTCAGCTATCATATTCCATAATACTTTTTTCGTGCTTCTTTAACTTTCATCTAAGATCTGTTGGTAGTTTTTTTTATCGTTAATTCTAGAATCATCCTTCAGGAATGACAAATCATTCCACACTTGAACAACAACTGGTTTTCACATAACAGCCTAAAAAGAACCTGGAGGAGAGCATGACAAGAAGACTGACAGCGAGGTCAGTGGCAAAAGAGTAATGCAAAGGCCTAATGTGGCTGCAGCGGGGACTGCTGTGGGTGTTTTGCCAGAACATGGAGTTCGCTGAAAGGAATGACACCAACACAGGGGCGGTAAAGATGGGCACAGTTTGGCCTCAGGAGACAAAAATTTTCCCTTGACATTACATGTTTTTGCTCTGCCCCTTTTCTGTGAAAGGTATCAAACTCCAAAGGGCAGCTGAGCCTCCCAAAGCCGAAGAGGCATTGAAGGAATTTAACGCTTCATGTTTATAGAACATTTGGTTACTCGATCGTTTTATGAGTAACATCAAAGTAACTACTCATTTGTTTTCTAACATGGTCTAGAGGGGGACGCAGCTGAGGAGGCAGAATGCTGGGGCTTAATTTGCAGCTAGGCCGTTGCTTCTGTGAACTTAAGGAAAATGCTTTTTTCTGTGCCAAACTTTTTCCGCCTGCAAAACTGAGATAACAATTCCTGCCTAGGACGAGACATTAAGAATTAATAACACAATCGACTTGTCAACAAAAGCCACTACTTAGTTAAGCTCAGTGTTTTAACAATTGTTTATCGTTGATCTATGACTGCAAATAAAAAGTTTTGCAGGCAAATTTCGCACTTGGAAATGAGGACCAACCCAAATTTCAAAAAGCCAGCTGTTCGTCCCTCCCTAGGGTAAGTGTCCCCTTGCGTTTTTTAGGGTGCCTTTCTTTACTCTTCTTAAAGGTTACAGGGCGTGAACCGCAATCAGGCTCGATTCTCCACCCCCTGCACTCAGACGTGTTAAAACGCTGTTACAGGGACCCAAGCATTTAAATGTTCTGACTCAGATGTCTTTTAAATTCTTAGAGCTGTCTTTACACGCTGCACTGAACGTTAAATTGATTTTACAGGTATTTTCACAAGATATGACCCTTACTGGGCCCGAGATGAATCAAAATGCAGAACGGGCTCTCCCGCGCCTACTTCCCTTCTGTCTGGGCGGCCAAGGATTCCCAAGGGCGACGACTCTCCGGCCGTGGAGGCCGGGGACTGGCCGGAATGACTCTCCCCGAGCTCCTCTTCCCCGAAGCCCCGCCCGCCGACCCTCTAAAGCAAACCTGCACACCCTGGGGCAGCTGAAGCTCTCAAGGCGGTGCCGAGAACCTCGGCGGGGGCGGGCTGGTCAGCAGCGTCTACACCCCAGAATCCGCCCGCGCCGGGGCTCCGGAACCTCTTGTTCGGGCCCGGCGCAGGGGCTGGGGGAAGTGAGGCCCGGAAAGACCAAGCTGGAAGGCGGGGGAAAGGGAAGGAGCCGAAAGTGCACTAGAGGCTGCGTCGAAGGAGGTGGAGGCGGGGCCGCACTCGAGGCGGGAACGGCAGGCCCCGCCCCTCAGCGGGTGCGCGCCCTGGGTTCCCAGCGCTCTGGGTTCGCACGCTCGGGTTGTGGAACCCGGACTGGGAAACAGGATGGTCTCGGAAAGGCTTTTTTTGCCCCTTCTCCTTAGTGCCTCTCCAGTGAAGGGCAGATGCTGAGAAAATGGTAGTAATTGCTATCATTTATTGAGGGCCTACGATGAGTCAGGCACTAGGCCAAGCATGTTGCTTGCCTTGCCTTGTTTAGTTTTTGTTGTTGTTTTGTTTTGTTTTTGAGACGGAGTCTCGCTCTGTCGCCCAGGCTGGGTTGCAGTGGTGCAATCTCCACTTACTGCAAGCTCCGCCTCTCGGATTCAAGCAATTCTCTTCCTCAGCCTCCCGAGTAGCTGGGACCACAGGTGCCTGCCACCATGCCCGGCTAATTTTTGTATTTTTAGTAGAGACGGGGTTTCACTATCTTGGCCAGGCTGGTATGGATCCCCTGACCTCGTGATCCACCCGCCTCGGCCTCCCAAAGTGCTGGGTTTACAGGCGTGAGCCACCGCGCCCTGCCAGGCCTCATTTAGTTCTCAAAGCGTCCTGTGAGAAAGTCACCATCATACTCATTTTACAGAGGGGGAGAACTGAGGCACAAAGGGTTAAGTTCGAGGTCGCCATTTGTGGGGTCTAAACCTGTCCCAATGGTTCACGGAACCTTCCCAGACCTGCCACCCACGCCGCGCCCTGCGAGTCTCCTCACCAGGGCCTGGCTCGGAGGCGCTGCCCGCCCAGCCCAGCCCATGCGGGGCACCATACGCAGCTTCCTCAGGGTCAGCTTCCTCTCGAATTCCCACCACAGACTCCCTATTAGCGCTCATTCCTCTTTCGCCTGTTTGTTTGTTTGTTGTTTTTGAGACAGAGTTTTGCCCTTGTTGCCCAGGCTGGAGTGCGGTGGCACGATCTCGACTCACTGCAATCTTCCCCTCCTGGGTTCAAGCGATTCTCCTGCCCCATCCTCCCGAGTAGCTGGGATTACAGGCACGAGCCACCACGCCTGGCTAATTTTTTTTTTTTTTTTTTTTTTTTTTTTGAGACAAAGTCTGGCTCTGTCGCCCTGGCTGGAGTGCAGTGGCGCGATCTCGGCTCACTGCAACCTCCGCCTCCCGGATTCACACCATTCTCGTGCCTCAGCCTCTCGAATAGCTGCCACCCTGTAATCCGACACTATGCCCGGCTAACTTTTTATATTTTTAGTAGAAACGGGGTTTCACCCTGTTGGCCAGGATGGTCTCCATCTCCTGACCTTGTGATCCGCCCGCCTCGGCCTTAACTTTTGTATTTTTAGTAGAGACAGGGTTTCACAATATTGGCCAGGATGGTCTCGAACTCCTGACCTCAAGCAATCTGCCCTGCCAAATATCTTTCACCTGTCTTAATCTTTTTTTTTCCCCAGACGGAGAGTCTTGCTCAGTTGCCAGACTGGAGTGCAGTGGCACAATCTCTGCTCACTGCAACCTCCACCTCCTGGGTTCAGGCGATTCTCCTGCCTCAGCCTTCCAAGTAGCTGGTACTACAGGTGCATGCCACCACGCCCAGCTATTTTTTTTGTATTTTTAGTAGAGACAGCGTTTCACCATGTTGGCCAGGATGCTCTCAATCTCCTGACCTCGTGATCTGCCTGCCTCCACCTCCCAAAGTGCTGGGATTACAGGCATGAGCCACCTCGCCCGGCCCACCTGTCTTAATCTTAAACCCAACCCTCATTCCCACCCCCACCTTCGGTGAATTATTTTAAAAATATAAATTTTAAAAAATAAAGAGCTGGGCACGGTGGCTCACACCTGTAATCCCAGCACTTTGGGACGCTGAGGCAGGTGGATCACCTGAAGTCAGGAGTTTGGGACCAGGCTGACCAACCTGGTGAGATCCTCTTCTCTACTAAAGATACAAAAAATTATCTCCAGAGGCTGAGGCAGGAGAATCACTTGAACCCAGGACGCGAAGGCTGCAGTAAGCTGAGATCGTGCCACTGCACTCCAGCCTGGGCAACAGAGTGAGATTCGGTCTCAAAAAAAATTAAAATAAATAAAAATTAAATATAAAGAAAATAGGCGGGGTGCAGTGGCTCACGCCTGTAATCCCAGCACTTTGGGAGGCCAAGGCAGGAGGATCACTTGAGCCCAGGAGTTCGAGACCAGCCTGGGCCACATGGTGAGATGACCCCCGTCTCTACAAAAAAAGAAAGAAAGAAAGAAAGAAAGAAAGAAAGAAAGAAAGAAAGAAAGAAAGAAAGAAAGAAAGAAAGAAAGAAAGAAGGAAGGAAAATATGCAATGCTAAGTAAACTGTGCCAAGTATATCTCATCCCTTACATCAGATAAGGTAATAGCCTGGAGTGGTAGGGAAGGAATCTCCATTAGGTGTGCTGAGAGTTGGGGAGTTTCACCTTTTCCTTCAGTACCAGCTAGAGAATTCTATTAATATACATAGAGGAATGGTGTGGTCCAGTGAAGAAATTTTGTATTCTTGGTCAGCTCATCAGCTGCCACCTTTCATGCTTAATATTGAACTGCTGTCATTTTCTAAAGCTTTTAAAAATCATTTATGCTTCCTCAACTCTGTAGCACAGCAACGCTAAATATCAGGCATAATGTCCGTAGCAAACGGCACTTGGAACAAAATAGCAAGTATGCTTTGGTGACTCAGAGCTGATCGGAAATCTACTGAAATTTTGTCTCCCAGATTTGTCAAGTTCTCTAATATGGTACTACAAAACTTTGGCTAAAGTACTTTGGGGAATGAGGGGGTGAAGGATGCAGCAGGCTGTCTTCAGGTAGCAGGACAGAGGGGATAGTGATGCGAAGAAGCCTTGAATTGGATCAGACTTTCATGTGCAATTATCTGTTCCATCTCTGTCTCTACAAGTTGTGTGACCTTGGGCTTCAGGGTCCTTATCTGTCAAAAGGAGGAAATAACTTATTTCTAACTCCTCCGATCTCATAGTGTTGATGTAATGATCAAATGAGATAATGGCTGAGAAAGTGCATTGGAAAGACTAAAAGTGAGGTGTTTTAAATTGACATTATTATGCACCTATTAAGTGCCTTGGGAGAGACACAAAGATAAATATGACCCAGTCCTTGCCCCAAAGATGTTCATAATCTGAAAGATAAGACATATGCACATGAAAAAGCAAATAATACAAGGCAGCAAATAGGTGTCAAAAGAGCGGTTTAGATTATAAATACTAGAGAAACATGAAGAAGGTACAGAATTCTTTCTGCAGAAATAGGATAGGATAGATGAAATAAATCTTCCTTTCATTGTGCCTGAAAGGACAGAGAAAATTTGGATCATTTACAATGAAGGAAACATCCCAGGAAATGGAAGCAGAGATAAGGAGAGTATAAACTGCATTCTAGGTCCAAGAGGAGATAGGACCAACTGAAGTGAAGGATTTTATAGGCTAGCTCTACATAAGACTAGAAAGTTAAGCCTATACTCCATCTTGGCAGTTAAAAATGCAGCAAAAGTTCGGGCGCAGTGGCTCACGCCTGTAATCCCAGCACTTTGGGATGCCAAGGCCGGCGGATCACGAGGTCAGGATATAGAGACCATCCTGCTAACACAGTGAAACCCCGTCTCTACTAAAAATACAAAAAATCAGCCAGGCGTGGCGGCGGGCGCCTGTAGTCCCAGCTACTCGGGAGATTGAGGCAGGAGAATGGCGTGAACCCGGGAGGCGGAGCTTGCAGTGAGCCGAGATCGCGCCACTGCACTCCCGCCTGGGCGACAGAGGGAGACTCCGTCTCAAAAAAAATAAAAAATAAATAAAATAAAATAAATTTTAAAAATGCAGCAAAAGCTGGGCGCGGTGGCTCACGCCTGTAATCCCAGCACTTTGGGAGGCCAAGGCAGGTGGATCACGAGGTCAGGAGATAGAGACCATCCTGGCTAACACGGTGAAACCCCGTCTCTACTAAAAACACATAAAATTAGAGGGGCGTGGTGGTGGGCACCTGTAATCCCAGCCACTGGGGAGGCTGAGGCAGGAGAATGGCGTAAACCCGGGAGGCGGAGCTTGCAGTGAGCGGAGATTGCACCACTGTACTCCAGACTGGGCGACAGAGAGAGACTCCATCTCAAAAAAAAAAAAAAAAAAAAAAATGCAGCGAAGTGCTGAAAAAAAAAGTTTATAATCAGACACCATCTGGTGTCCTTGAACGAGAAAGAATTGTAAGAAAAACCCTAGAATTCATTCATATTCTCTCTCTCTCTCTCCATCCTTCTCTCTCCCTCTTTTTTGCCAGATTTTTAAAAAACAGCTTCATTGAGGTATTTTGGCATACAGTAAAGTGTAAAATTCAACACATTTTGATATAACTATATATGTGTGAAACCATCACCAAGATCAAGATAGTGAACATATGTATCATACTGTAAAAGTTTACCTGTGCCCGTTTGTAATTCTTTTCTCTAGCCTCTCCCTGCCCTACTCAACTACTGACTGTGTTTTCTGTCACTATAGAATGGTTTGGACTTTCTAGAATCTTATGTAAATTGAATCAAATAAAGATGTACTCACTACATTGGGGTCTCACTATGTTGCCCAGGCTGGTCTTGAACTCTTGGGCTCCAGAGATCCTCCCACCTTGGCCTCCCAAAGTGCTGGGATTACAGGCATGAGCTACCATGCCCAACCAATTAATTTTTAAGTTAATGTCGTTTCATTGCTGATAAATATGAAACTTTCTTTAAAACCTTAATTTGGGCCAGGTGCAGTGGTTCACGCCTGTAATCCCAGCACTTTGGGAGGCTGAGGTGGGCGGATCACGAGGTCAGCAGTTTGAGACCAGCCTGACCAATATGGTGAAACTCCGTCCCTACTAAAAATACAAAAATTAGCCAGGAGTGGTGGCAGGTGCCCTGTAATCCCAGCTTCTCAGGAGGCAGAGGCAGGAGAATCGCTTGAATCTGGGAGGCGGAGGTTTC